AAAAAAAAAAGAAAAAAAAAAAAAGACACAGCAAACAAGGAACACCATGATGTGTTGGTCTATTTTTCATTGCTATAAAGGAATACTTGACATTGGATAATTTATAAAGAAAAGAAGTTTATTTGGCTCACAGTTCCACAAGTTGCAAAAGCATGGCACCAATATCTACTTAGTTTCTGGTGAGGCCTCAGGAAGCTCTTTGTCACAGTGGAAGGCGAAGGTGGAGCAGGTGTGTCACATGGCAGAAAGAGGGAGTAAGAACAAGAGGAGGAGGTACCAGGCTCCTTTAAACAGCCAGTCAGTAGCTTCCAGTCAGCACTATGCCTTTTAATTGGAGAATTAAGTCTATTTATATTGCCTTTACTGTTGGATCCTACAAAATATTTAAAGAAGAACTAATACCAATTCTACTCAAACTCTTCAAACAAAATTAAAGAGAAGGGAATATTTCCAAACTTATTCTACAAGATCAGCATGACCCGGACACCAAAACTAGACAAGGGCACAACAAAAATGAAAACTACAGTCCAATGTCCCAGAAGAACACAGATGCAAAAACCCTCAACTAAATAACAGCAAACCAAATTCAACAATACTTTAAAAAGATTATTCACCGTACCAAGTGAGATTCATTCCAGAGATGCAAAGATAGTTCAACATATGCAAATCAATAAGCATGACAATATGGTTTGGATATTTGTCCCCATCCAAATCTCATGTTGAACTGTAATCCCCAGTGTGGGAGATGAAGCCTGGTGGGAGGTGTTTGGATAATGAGGGCGGATCCCTCATGAATGGCTTGGGCCATCCCCTTGGTGATAAGTGAGATCTTGCTCTGAGTTCACAAGAGATTTGGTTGTTTAAAAGTGTGTGGCACCTCCTTTCCCACTCTCTCCTCCTTGCTCTGATTTCATCATGTGATGTGCTGGCTCCCCTTTCACCTTCTGCCACAACTGTAAGCTTCCTGAGGCCTCCCCAAAAAATGAACTGCACCATGCTTCCTGTACAGCCTGTAGAACTGCGAGTCAATTAAATCTCTTTTCTTATAAATTACCCAGTCTCTAATATTTCACTATAGCAGTGCAAGAACAGCCTAATACACATGGTAAGCTGGGCACAGTGATATGTGCCTGTAATCCCAGCTTCTCAGGAGGCTGAGGTGGAAGGAACACTTGAGTCCAGGAGTTTCCAACCACCCTGGACAGCAAAGCAAGACTCTACCTTAAATAATAATTATTATAAAATAAAATAAACATGATACATCACATTAATAAAACCAAGAACAAAAACCATATAATTATTTTAATAAATGCTGAAAACACAGTTGAAAAATTCAACATCCCTTTATGATAAAATTCTCATTAAACTGGGCACACAAAGAACATACTTCAAGATAACAAATGCCATATATGACAAACCCACAGCTAACACCATTCTGAAAGGGGATAAATTGAAGGCCTTTCTTGTAGATGTGGAACAATACAAGAATGCCTACTTTCACCACTTTTATTCAACACAGTACTAGAAGTCCTGGCCAGAGCAATTAGGCAAGAGAGAGAAATAAAAGGCATCCAAATTGCAAAAGAAGAAGTCAAATTAGACTTGTTTGCAGATGACATGCTTTTTTTTTTTTTTTTTTTTTTTTTTTTGAGACAGAGTCTCACTCTGTCACCCAGGCTGGAGTGCAGTGGCGTGATCTCAGCTCACTGCAACCTCCACCTCCCAGGTTCAAGCGAGTCTCCTGCCTCAGCCTCCTGAGTGGCTGGGATTACAGGTGTCTACCATCACACCCAGCTAATTTTTGTATTTTTGGTAGAGACGGGGTTTCACCATGTTGGTCAGGCTGGTCTCAAACTCCTGACCTCGTGATCCAACCACCTCAGCCTCCCAAAGTGCTGGGATTACAGGCATGAGCCATCGCACCCGGCAGACATGATCTTATACTTAAAAAAATTTTTTTTAAAAACCACCCTAAATACGCCACAAAAAAAATCTGTAAAAACTGATAACTGAATTCAGTAAAGTTGCAAGATACAAAATCATCATATAAAAATTGGTAGAATTTACATATGCCAACAGTGAAGAATCTGAAGAAGAAATCAAGAAAGCAAGCCTGTTTACAATAGCTACAAAGACTATAAAATACCCTGCAATCAATTTAACCAAAGAAGTGAAAGATCTACATAACAAAAACTATAAAACACTGATGAAACAAACTGAAGAGGATACAAAAAAATGGAAATATAATCCATGTTCATGGAGTCGAAGAACATTGCTAAAATATCAATACTAACCAAAGCAATTTACTGATTCAATGCAATTCCTATCAAAATACAGTGACGCTCTTAATAGAAGTAGAAAAAAAATCCTAAAACTCATACGGAACCACGAAAGATCCCAAATAGCCAAACAACCCTCAGCAAAAAGGAACAAAGCTGGAGGCATCACACTACCTGACTTCAAAATTTTCTACAAAGCTATAGTAACCAAATCAGCATGGCACTGGCATAAAGACAGATCCATAGACCAATGGGATGGAATAGAGAACTCAGATATAAACACACGCATTTACACCAACTCATCTTCAACAAAGGTGCCAAGAACATACAATGGAGAAATAATAGTTGTTTCAATGAATGCTGCTGGAAAAACTGAATAACTACATATGGAAGAACAAAACCAGACCCCTATCTCTTGCCATATCCAGGAATAAAAATGAATTAAAGACTTAAATCTAAGTAAGACCTCAAACTATAAAACTGTTGCAAGAAAACATTGAGGAATTGCTCTAGAACACTGGTCTGGACAAAGGTTTTTTTGTATCTGTAAGGCCTCAAAAGCACAGGAAACCAAAGCAAAAATGTACAAATGGGGTTTCGCCAAGCAAAAAACCTTTTGTACAGCAAAGAAAATGGTCAACAAAGTGAAGAGACAACCTACAGAATGACAGAAAATATTTGCAAACCACCCATCTAACAAGGGGTTAATAATCAGAAGATATAAGCAGCTCAAACACCTCACTAGCCAAAAACAAACCAATAAAAAACAAATAATCCAAGTAAACATGGCAAAAGAACTGAATAGACATTTCTCAAAAAACATACAAAAGGCAAACAAGTATGTGGAAAAAATGCTCAACATCAGTAATCATTCAGGGAAATGCAAATCAAAACTACAATGAGATATAATCTCACCCCCAGTAAAGTAGCTTCTATCAATAAGACAGGCAATAACGGATGCTGATGAGGATGTGGAGAAAGGGGAACCCTCATACACTCTTGGGAATGTAAATTAGTATAGCCACTCTGGAGAACACTATGAAGGTTCCTCAAAAAATTAAAAATATAACACATTTATATTTGATCCAGTAATTCCACTGGATATACATTTTTAAAAAAGAGATGATTATATTAAAGAGATAGCTGCACTCCCACGTTTATTGCAGGACTATTCACAAGAGCAAAACTATGGAATCAACCTAAGTGCCCATCAACAGATGAATAGATAAAAAAAATGTAGCATATATATACAAGGGACTATTATTCAGCCATAAAAAAAATGAAATCCTGTCATTTGCGGCAACATAAATGCAACCAGAGGTCATTATGTTAAGTGAATTAAGCCAAGCACAGAAAGACAAATATCGCACATTCTCACCTGCATGTGGGAGCTAAAAAAGTGGATCTCATACAGATTAAGAGTAGACTGGTGGTTACCAGAGGCTGGAAAGGGTGGTGGGGAGGGAGGAATGCAGAGAAGTTTATTAATGCATACAAACATACCGTTTACTTAAAAAAGAAGGCCTAGTGTTAGATCAGTAGGGTAATTATAGTTTATAATGATGTTTTTCCTTCAACTTTTATTTTTAAGTTCCGGGGTACATGTGCAGGTTTGTTACATAGGTAAATGTGTGCCATGTTGGTTTGCTGCACAGATCAACCCATCACCTAGGTATTAAGCCCAGCATTCATTAACTATTCTCTGATGCTCTCCCTCTCCTCTAATTTACTGTACATTTAAAAACAGCTAAAAGAGTATTTGAATGTTTCCAGTATAAAAAAAAGAAAAATATTTAACATGATGGATACCCCAAGTACATTAATTTGATTTTTTAAAATTATATGAATGCACTACATTATCACATGTACCACAAAACTATGTATATCTATTATGCCTCAATAAAATTTTTAAAAATTACCATGGGGGGGAAAAAGAGTGCTAAAGATTCTCATCTCCCACAGTTTTAAGTCAAGGTTAATACCAATAGATAATGCCTAAAATTGAAAAAATCAAGACCATCAATATAAGCATATACTTATGCATAAATATATATTTTCCTGAATTTTTGTGCACTTATATATTAAATTTTTAAAGTTTACAACCACTTAAATTGCTTTAAAGCTCCTTTCGTCATATCTAGAAACTAATGAGACACCCTTAAAGATATTAATTCTCTCTAAAAAGAAAAAATAAAAATAAGTCTCTCATTCTTCAAAGGGGCTTTCTAGTTTGTTAAGATCAGAGTCCAAGGATGGTGAATGGCTGTGCACTTGTTTCACATTTTATGTATTTCGAGAAAAAGTAGATTTGAAAGGCCAGGATAAATGGCTCATATCTATAATCCCTGCACTTTTCAAGGCTACGTCAGTGGCTGGGGTGAAATGGCTTGCACCCAGGAGTTTGAGACCAGGCTGAGTAACACACGGTGACGCCATCTCTCCAAAAATTTTAAAAATTAGCCAGGCATGGTAGCGCATGCCTGTGTTTCAGCTACTTAGGAAGCTGAGTTGGGAGGACTGCTTAAGCCTGGGAGATCAAGGTTGCAGTGAGCTGTGACCATGCCACCAGGTCTGGGTGACAGAGTGAGACCCTGTCTGAGCCAAAAAAAAAAAAAAAAAAAAAAGAATAAACAGATTCAAAAGGGCAAAAAATAAAAATGTCCTTAAAATCTCTAAAGTTCTAGTTTACCATCAAAATAAAAATACTCTCTTTTCTATCAGGTCTGCAACATGAAAGTCACAGGCATCACAATCCTCTTTTGGCCTCTCTCCATGGTATTATTATCAGACAAAATCCAGTCTTCTAAAAGAGTAAGTTTTTACAATCAAAATAGTAAAAATATTTTCAAAGGTACATTTTCTGTATATTTAGTAAAATATCAAAGGGCAATAAGAAAGCAAAGAAAATCTGACCTACTAAAATTGTTTACTTAGCTGTGTATATCCAAATTCCAATTTGACAAAAGCAGCCTTCATTTTTAAAAACTGAGTTCTTTAAAAGTTGATTAAAGGGAGAGATCTGAAAATTTTCACTATAAAATCAGAAATTAGTTTTAAGACTAAAATCTTGTTTAAAATATAGGAAACTTTTTTTAAAAAAATCACGTATTTATGAGGGAAACTGCTATTGAATTATTATTCGTGAAAAAATCTAACTGCAAAAACAGTAATAAACAAGAACTATTCTTAGTTCTATTTATTCTTAGTTTACTATTCAGTAAAAACCAGAACTATTTCTTTCTTTCCATCTATATCCACATAAAGGAAGTATTTCAGATTGTGTGGCTCTTTAAATTCACTACACGGCTCCATTTCTGATATAAGATAAATATTTCCTTTTAAAACACCAAACTTTGAACTGTTAAACCCAGAGAGCTATATATTGACATTTATTGATTGCTTTTGAGACGGAGACTCGCTCTGTTGCCCAGGCTGGAGTATAATGGCATGATCTCAGCTTACTGCAACCTCTGCTTCCTGGGTTCAAGCAATTTTCGTGCCTCAGCCTCCCAAACAGCTGGGATTACAGGTGCTTGCCACCATGCCTGACTGGTTGTTTTTTTTTTTTTTTTTTTGTTTTTTTTTGTATTTTTAGTAGAGACAGGGTTTCACCATGTTGGACAGGCTGGTCTTGAACTCCTGACCTCAGATGACCTGCCTACCTGGGCCTCCAAAAGTGCTGGGATTACAGGCATGAGCCACCATGCCCAGCCTATTTATTAATTATTTAACAGCCCTAGGTATAATGTCGTTAGCTCTGCTGATTTTAAAAACACATATAGTTTAAAATAATTTCCTCACTATAAAGCAATCATGCACACTGGAATATCAAATGTTAACAGAATTATTATTTACCATATATTTCCACATATGTAAATGGGAATATACCAATAGCATTACTTTCTGTAATGATCATGTAATAACAGTTGGAAAATACCCATATAACAAATTGGAATCTCTTTGTTCAATTGTATGGATCAGAATATCCTTAATTTTTAGTATTTCATCCCAGAAAAGAAAAAGATTTGCTCTACTATAACACCAAAGATTAGATAGTAGGTTTTTTTCCCCAAAGTAATTTCCTTCTAATGTCTAAGCGCTGAAAATGAATTTTGAGGAAATTCTATTGATATGTTTTTCTGATTAATGCATTTCTTTTTTTTTCTTTTTCTAGGAAGTCCAATGTAATTTCACTGAAAAAAATTATTCCTTGATTCCAGCAGATATCAAGAAAGATGTTACTATACTTGATCTCAGTTATAACCAAATTACTCTTAATGGTACAGACACAAGAGTTCTACAGACATACTTTTTACTCACAGAGCTCTACTTGATTGAGAACAATGTTACTGTCTTACATAATAACAGTTTTGATAATCTCTCCAGTCTAGAAATTTTAAATATCTGTAGAAACTCCATCTATGTAATTCAACAGGGTGCATTTTTAGGCTTAAATAAACTAAAACAGTTACATCTCTGCCAAAACAAAATAGAACAACTGAATGCTGATATATTTGTGCCTCTAAGAGACCTAAAACTTCTGAATCTGCAAGGCAATTTGATTAGCTATTTGGATGTACCACCACTATTTCATCTGGAATTAATAACTTTATATGGAAACCTATGGAACTGCTCTTGCAGTCTATTTAATTTGCAGAACTGGTTGAACACATCAAATGTGACATTAGGTAAGCTATCATAATTAAGCAAAACCAACATGTGATTAACTCAATGTTCCACCACAGAAAAATTTCTCATATCATGTTTTAAAGAAAAGGAAGCAGCCAGGCACAGTGGCTCACACCTGTAATCACATCACTTTGGGAGGCCAAGGCAGGCGGATCACCTGAGGTCAGGAGTTCGAGACCAGCCTGGCCAACATGGTGAAACCTCATCCCTACTGAAAATACAAAAATTAGCTGGGTGTGGTGGCACATGCCTGTAGTACCAGGTACTCAAGAGGCTGAGGCAGGAGAATCACTTGAACCTGGGAGGCGACATTGCAGTGAGCCAAGATCGTGCCACTGCATTCTAGCCTAGACAACAGAGTGAGACTCTGTCTCAGAAAAAAAAAAAAAAAAAAAAGGAAACAATTTCTGTTTAAGCAAAACAGGAAGAAACACTAAAAAGTAACAGCTGCATAGATGCTCTCCTTTCCCATTACCAGGGGGAGAAATTAAGAATTTTTTTTTTTTTTTTGAGACAGAGTTTTGTTCTTGTTGCCCAGGCTAGAGTGCATTGGCGCGATCTCACCTCACCACAACCTCCACCTCCCAGGTTCAAGCAATTCTCCTGCCTCAGCCTCCTGAGTAGCTGGGATTACAGTCATGCGCCACCATGCCTGGCTAATTTTTTGTATTTTTAGTAAAGATGGGATTCCTCCATGTTTGTCAGGCTGATCTCGAACTCCCAACCTCAGGCGCTCCACCCGCCTTGGCCTCCCAAAGTGCTGGGATTACAGGTGTGAGCCTCCGTGCCCAGCCAGAAATGTAAATGTTCTATATATGTAAGATGATAACGTCACTTCGTGTATTGTTAGCAAAGTCAATATGTAAGAGTAATTTTTTAACAGTGCTTCCTAGACTAAGTGAAAACAAGTGACCTATTTTAACTGCAAATATTGTGCCTGAGATCCAGATTGTAACCATGTAACCACAATATTAATAATATAATCTACACTAATACAGATAAACTAAATAAAAAACAGATACTGCATTTAAGCTGTATTTATAAAACAATAAACAGAAATGTGCATTACCTTTTCACTATGTTGCTAGACAAATACAACAGGAATTTCTTATAATGCCTTTAAGAATGACAGATATGTCAAAAATTCTAGATAAAACAATTATAAAATGTTAACTATTAAAATGTTGTTAATGGTTATTTTTCTCTATTCTAAATCTTATTATTTCTGATTTACTAGAAAATGAGAACATCACCATGTGTAGCTACCCCAACAGCCTGAAGAGCTACAATATTAAAACAGTACCTCCTAAGGCTGAATGCCACTCAAAACTTCCTTCACCAGTAACTGAAGATCTTTATATTCATTTTCAGCCCATCAGCAATTCAACATTTAATAGCTCTTTGAACAACTTAACAAGAAATTCAGGTAATGTACCAGTTCTTAATATTAACACTGCTGAATGTATCATACTAAATAAACTGAGGTAGTTATCTTTATTTTAAATTTCTATAAAAATATAAAAGAAAGATTCCTCATCCAACTAAAGATTTACAAAATATTGGTCTTTCAAACTAGGTTCTGCTAGTTACAAGCCAAATGCCATTGTGCAAATTATTTAACTTCTCTGAGCCTTTGTTTTAACTAGTCTAGTCGCAAATCTCAACGAGTATAAATCAATAATGGTCTTAGGTAAAAAGGTAACAAAATGGCAATAGCTGTTTTGAAAAAAGAGAATTCTTCCACCACACAAAATTTGTCTAAAGAAAACTACAACGTATGTTTATTTCTAATACCAATATTGAGGAGAATTAGGATATATAATTATGATTATTTTGCCAACTTAACAAATTTTCTTTCTCTCTTCTCTCTCGGTATTCCATTAAAGAACATATACCTCTTGGAAAAAGCTGGGTTTTTCTCGTTGGTGTTGTTGTCACTGCACTGACAACTTCACTTCTCATTTTTATTGCTATCAAATGCCCAATATGGTACAATATTCTGCTTAGTTATAATCATCATCGCCTGGAAGAGCATGAAGCAGAAACCTATGAAGATGGTTTTACTGGAAATCCAAGTTCTCTTTCACAGATACCAGAAACAAACTCTGAAGAAACTACAGTAATATTTGAACAATTACATTCATTTGTGGTAGACGATGATGGATTTATTGAAGACAAATATATAGATATCCATGAATTACGTGAAGAAAATTAATTTCTTTCAAAGTTTGCTTTTTAAACAAAGTTATCAGCTCACTCACAGTTTAGATATGGAGATTTTGCTATGTGATATACCAAAATACAGCTAGCAGACATTCATATTAACAACAACGTACATGAATATCATAAAATTATGTTCTTTGCATTGTATTGAGCAAGCAGGTCCAAATACAATAACTGACACTCCCTGGTAGCTGACAGTTACATAGTTTACAATACTGGCACTCCTGTTCTTAGCAGTGTTTGGGTGACCATACAGACTAGTAAAAAGGCCTAAATTATTCATTAATTAAAATGAATGGATTCTCATATTAACACAGATATTTGACATAATATGTATTAAATTATACTAAAGTTTCAATCAGTAAAGAAATAAAAGTTTGGGATTTATTAACATACGGTAAGTCAAAGTGAGGAACAGATAGCTTAAATAATACAAGATTGATTTTATGCTCACAGAATAAATTCATAGAGTTGGAAAATATTTTTTCAAAATGCTTCCTGAAATAGCATAATAAATTTCCTTAAAATTTTATAGCAATTTAAAGCACAAGCACAATGTTCAGGCATAATCCCTAATAAGTCACTACTGATTCTGGTTATAAAGAAAGGCTGTCACCATAATGCAGGATCACTACAGTTGAATATCATAGTGGCTTACAAAGTGGGCATCACAATAATCTATAAATCTTGTTTTAAAAATACATATTTCTACCTCTCTCTGGGAGATTTTTATTCAAAATTGGTCTGTGCTGGGACTGAGGAATCTTCATGTGGTCCACAGACAGCTGTTTCTATCTATTCAGTAGATACAGCAATATTTCCCAAATTGTTTTCCCAAAATACTAATTTCCAGAGAGACATTCACAAGTATTTACAGGAGAAGAAAAAGGTACATGGTCAAATTACCATAGGAAAAACTAGGTTTAAACAAAGTGAAACAAGATTCTTTTTATTTATTTATTTATTTTTTTGGAGACAGAATGTGGCACTGCCGCCAGGCTGGAGTGCAGTGGTGCTATCTTGGCTCACTGCAACCTCCGCCTCCTGGGTTCAAGCGATTCTTCTGACTCAGCCTCCCGAGTAGCTGGGAGTACAGGTGCACACCACCATGCCTGGCTAATTTCTGTATTTTTAGTAGAGATGGGGTTTCACCATATTGGCCAGGCTGGTCTCCAACTCATTATCTCGTCATCTGCCCACCTAGACCTCCTAAAGTGCTGGGATTACAGGCGTGGACCACTGTGCCTGGCCAAGATTCTTTACAATAGGATTTATGAAAAACTTTACTAAGCTAAATTTACGGCTCTCTGATTATTCGAGAGCAAAGTATTAAAAATTTCCCAAACTTACTTGACAACAAAACCCATTCTTTGAGTTACATCTACTAAGAGCTCGTAGTTCAACAACAATCCAAAGAACATAGTTTGGAAAACACTGGCCTATAGACTGTAATAAGAAGGGTCTACAGAGAATTATTTGCCAATTCCTTGTAATTAATTGGCTACAATCATAATTAAAAATTTATCAATGCAAACAGTACATTAAAAACTGTAGCACAATCTATAATTTTTACCTTCATATGAAGAGAAATTAAGAATTTATGTCTTTTACAAATAAGTATATCTCTGAAACACTGAAATATATTTATGGGTGAAATAATATTTCTGGTATTTTCTTCATTATAACACATGGAATGGAAAAGTGGCCAGAGGTATGGATAGAGCAAGGTCAAATATGAGCTGAAGAAGCTGGGGGCTGAGTACATAAGGATATAATATGCTATTTTTATGTATGTTGTGTATGGTATAGTATGCTATTTCTGTGTATGTTCAAATTGTTTATGTATATAATAAAGTTTTACAAATTTGTATGTACTTGACAATTCCTTAGAAAAACGAAACTAAAATAAAATAGATCTATGTCATAATCTACAGAATAGTCATTTTAAAAGTTACGGCCGGATGCAGTGGCTCACACCTGTAATCCCAGCACTTTGGGAGGCCGAGGCAGGTGGATCACGAGGTCAAGAGATTGAGACCATCCTGGCCAACATGGTGAAACCCCAGCTCACTGCAACCTCTGCCTCCTGGGTTCAAACGATTCTTCTGACTCATCCTTCCAAGTAGCTGGGTGTACAGGCGCACACCACCACACCTGGCTAATTTCTGTATTTTTAGTAGAGACAGCATTTCACCCCGTCTGGGTGAGGTGGCAGGTGAGGTGGCAGGTGCCTGTAATCCCAGCTACTCAGGAGGCTGACGCATGAGAATCACTTGAACCTGGGAGGCGGAGGTTGCAGTGAGCTGAGATTGCACCACTGCACTCCAGCCTGGTGACAAAGCCAGAATCCTTCTCAAAAATTAAAAAAAAAAAAAAAAAAGTTACATAATTAGTAAATTCAATGCAAATGTCTACTGAGAGAAAATAAAAACTATCTAGGATGATATACCTGTAAAATAGAAGAACTTACTAATTTATAATACATATTTGCTTCTGTTTACAGAAACATGTTCTCAACAAAGGATATAAGTATACTATGGCTAATGTTTCTTTATATATCAATTATACTTTGTTTTAAATCTCAATTACGAGGTGATTATAGAAACATAAAATATCTTTTTCTAAATAATGTACCACTCTGCCAAATTATTTCCTAAGATGCAAATATTTGTATTTGAGAAATGTAGCAAAATGAAATATAACTACAAATGAGTAAAGACTACACTTAAGCTTTTATATTCAAGAGCCTCTATTGAATATGGGGTATTCAATAAACAGCTGACTAAACAAAGAAAAATAAATGGGTATAAAATTATAATTACCTATATTTTTATAGGACAACTGATCTTGACTAATACCAAACTGGAAAGCACAGGATTAGAAGAGAATCATTAGTTCAAGCAAGCCTGTGAAACTGAATTAAATCCAGGTGTCTTACATATTGTTGTAGTAATATATTGAGGCTGTTTATTATAACCAACTTTTTATGGACGTGTTTTCCATAATAAACCACATGGTCAGACCACACTAAATGGTTGTACTGAAAGAGAAAAGAATGAAAACAGAAGCTTTTTACACCTGCCTTCTCAAGGTATGGCATTTCTTGTTCACTCTGAATGTATAGACTCAAGATAGATCTTTGTGTTATTGAGATGTTGGCCATCTGGTTAACACAAGAAATAAATCTATTCTACTGCTGTATATAAAAGTAAACTTCATCAAATTGTCCCTGTTTGCAGATGACATGATTGTATATTTAGAAAACCCCATTGTCTCAGCCCAAAATCTCCTTAAGCTAATAAGCAACTTCAGCAAAGTCTCAGGATACAAAATCAATGTGCAAAAATCACAAGCATTCTTATACACCAGTAACATGCAAACAGAGAGTCAAATCATGAGTGAACTCCCATTCACAATTGCTTCAAAGAGAATAAAATACCTAGGAATCCAACTTACAATGGATGTGAAGGACCTCTTCAAGGAGAATTACAAACCACTGCTCAATGAAAGAAAAGAGGACACAAACAAATGGAAGAACATGCCATGCTCATGAATAGGAAGAATCAATATTGTGAAAATGGCCATACTGCCCAAGGTAATTTATAAATTCAATGCCATCCCCATCAAGTCACCAATAACTTTCTTCACATAATTGGAAAAAACTACTGTAAAGTTCATATGGAAACAAAAAAAAGCCCACATTGCCAAGACAATCCTAAGTCAAAAGAACAAAGCTGGAGGCATCATGCTACCTGACTTTAAACTATACTACAAGGCTACAGTAACCAAAACAGCATGGTACTGGTACCAAAACAGAGATATAGACCAATGGAACAGAACAGAGCCCTCAGAAATAATACCACACATCTACAACCATCTGATCTTTGACAAACCTGACAAAAACAAGAAATAGGGAAGGGATTCCCTATTTAATAAATGGTGCTGGGAAAACTGGCTAGCCATATGTAGAAAGCTGAAACTGGATCCCTTCCTTACACCTTATGTAAAAATTAATTCAAGATAGATTAAAGACTTAAATGTTAGACCTAAAACCATGAAAACCCTAGAAGAAAACCTAGGCAATACCATTCAGGACATAGGCATGGGCAAAACACCAAAAGCAACGGCAACAAAAGCCAAAACTGACAAATGGGATCTAATTAAACTAAAGAGCTTCTGCACAGCAAAAGAAACTACCATCAGAGTGAACAGGTAATCTACAGAATGGGAGAAAACTTTTACAATCTACCCATCTGACAAAGGGCTAATATCCAGAACCTACAAAGAACTTAAACAAATTTACAAGAAAAAAATCAAACAATCCCATCACAAAGTGGGCAAAGGATATGAGCAGACACTTCTCAAAAGAAGACATTTATGCAGCCAACAGACACATGAAAAAATGCTCATCATCACTCACCATCAGAGAAATGTAAATCAAAACCACAATGAGATACCATGTCACAACAGCTAGAATGGCGATCATTAAAAAGTCAGAAAACAACAGACGCTGGTGAGGATGTGGAGAAATAGGAACACTTTTACACTGCTGGTGGGACTGCAAACTAGTTGTGGAAGACAGTGTGGCAATTCCTCAAGGATCTAGAACGAGAAATACCATTTAACCTAGCAATCCCATTACTGGGTATACACCCAAAGGAATATAAATCATGCTGCTATAAAGGCACATGCACACGTATGTTTGTTGTGGCACTATTCACAATAGCAAAGACTTGGAACCAACCCAAATGCACATCAATGATAGACTGGATTAAGAAAATGTGGCACACATACACCAGGGAATACTAAGCAGCTATAAAAAAGGATGAGTTCATATCCTTTGTAGGGACATGAATGAAGCCGGAAACCATCATTCTGAGCAAACTATCGCAAGGACAGAAAACCAAACACCGCATGTTCTCACTCATAGGTGGGAACTGAACAATGAAAACACTTAGACACAGGTTGGGGAATATCACACACTGGGGCCTGTCGTGGAGTGGGTGGAGCAGGGAGGGACAGCATTAGGAGATATACCTAATGTAAATGACGAGTCAGTGGGTGCAGCACACCAACATGGCACATGTATATATATGTAACAAATCTGCACACTGTGCACATGTACCCTAGAACTTAAAAGTGTAATTTAAAAAAAGAAAGCAAACTTCATAACAATAATTTTTGGTTGTTGTTTTTTTTTTTTTTAAGACAGAGTCTCGCTCTGTCGCCCAGGCTGGAGTATAGTGGCATAATCTCAGCTCACTGCAACCTCCGCCTCCCAGGTTCAAGTGATTCTCATGCCTCAG